AGGTCATAATGCCTTTTTCAATATCTTATTTATAAATTTCATTTGATTTTTAATATGGAGTCATTAAGATAACATATTTGTCTATAGTATATATGGAAAAACAGAAGAAACTCATATGGATAAAACAACATCATGGTTAACAGAATCTGCTGTTAGTAAACGGTCAAGTGCAATTTTTAGAATCTGCTGTCCATTTCTTGTAGTATAAAACAGTAGCTTCTCCTGCTCCTTATGTGAGTGTATTTAGATCAAATAAGGAGTATATCCACCTGCAAAGCAAATGGTCTATAGTCTGTCCTAAAGTACTTTTACTTAAACATTGCAAATTTAGGACAGTCGTTAGCTTTAGTTTTCTTTCTTTTTCTTTTGCCTGTTGTTCACCAGGTGATCATGTTTCATTCAATGTACCTGTCATTTGCAAGCTGGTCTAACCAAATATGATGTTGGCATGGTGGCTTGAGAATGTCATATAACCTATTGTCCTGTATACATGGAGCTTCTAGATATAGGTTATGCATATTTTTGCATATTATGGTCAGCTGCTGTTGCAATGCATATCTTATGGTTAGCTGTTGTTGCAATGCATACATACATACCCATGCGCCTGCTCTACGTCCATATATGTCTAAACGTCGTCCAACGGTCACTCTGGAATGACCAAGTGATCTTATTTAACACCTGTAATATGTATACCTTATGGACAAAAAGATCCGACAACAATAACTTGACCAAACTTAATTTAAACTCATTTTAGTTTCTATAATTCACAGCTCAAAATCAACTTTTTATCAGTTTTTAGACGCAAATATAACCAACCTAGAAGCCTTATTTCTAAAAAGTGTCTAAAGGACAGGTTTAGAGCTACATATAAGCTTTCTAAAATGTCAAGAATCGTAGCAATCCGAGCTACGGTTAAAAAGTTATCGCACATTCAAAACATCATCTCGAATAGATTCAGTGCTGTCAAATTCATCACTAAATAAGCTAAAATCCATATTTTGGATTCAATATTTATTCCAACAATCAAAAATACCATCTAACTATGTTTATATTATTGTTTACAAGACCAATACTCAAGAATTTCACCAAAATAGCACAGACTTGTAAGTGAACCCTCTATTTTTCTGCTCTAAAACCCTTTTTGTAACTCCAACAAAAACCCCAAATCACCAAAAACCCAAATCCCTTGATTTAAAAAATATGACACAAATACCTCCATAAATGATTGCCTCTTTAGACAACAAGTATTTCACAACTAAATGGATCAAACAGAAAGTTCCTACTGGTTGCCTGTTTAGACAACAAGTATTTCCCAACTAAACCCTCTTAAGTAACTCAGGTTCTTGTATTGTTTTTGTAGCTAAACCGTTCATTCATTTCATCTTACTTGTCATCGTCAGAGGTTCTTCTAGCAATTCCTCCGCACCCTAGGTATTTAACAATCAAACCTTTATATGTCTTGTTTCTACTTAACAGGTCCTGCTTTTGTTTTAGCATTGCTGTTTTATGGAATAATTATGTGAAAATCATGTTTGACATGCTATTTTCCATTATTCCAACTTGTTTAGTGGTTGTCGGTAACTTGAACCTTTACTTGTACATAAATTAACAACCAAACAGCCCTGTTACATGTGTCTGTGTGTGTGTATATATATATACATATTAACCATGATGTGTGTGTGCATATGTATTTGTACGTATAAGGTTATGATGTTTCAACTATTTTGTGCACCCTTTACAAATATATGTCATCAGATTGTTCTGTTACATATCTATATGTGTATACAGATATATGTGAGTGTGTATGTATAAGAGGTCTCAACCCCTAATGTACCAAACAACCCTTTACTTGTGTATAAAATAAAAACCAAATAGCTTTTTACCAGAGATTTCATTTGAACCCATCCCCCTCTTCAAGTATAGATAGTTAAATTTAAATGATTAACTGTTGGGATTGTGCATAATGTTTGATTTCAAACAGTTTCTGTTTTTGATAGTTTTTGGGACTGCAATCTTGTTTGGGACAGGTTGCAAAATCAAGTTTAATGTAAATTCTTGTTTGGGACAACATAGTGTTGTGTGTGTGTGTTTAATGTGTTATCTGTCAACAGCAAGTGTTGCCTGCTTTTGAAACTATGTAGTATAAACAACATAGTTACCAGCAACTTTATAGAAAACCAAAACATGTTACCTTTTGTTCATGATGAGTAACTGATTCCACCTGCACTGGCACTTGGAAAACATAGTTACAAGCCACTTCTGTAGCCACATCAGTAGTTGCTAATCTGTACAAGCCACTTCTGTAGCCACATCCCTTATGTCCGTCCGAAGACAACATGTTCCCATTTAAGTTGAAGAAAAAACAGTTTCCAATTCGGCTTAGCTTTTTTATGACAATCAATAAAGCTCAAGGCCAAACAATTCCGAATGTAGGTGTTTATCTACCGGAATCAGTTTTCTCACACGGGCAACTTTACGTGGCGTTGTCCAGAGGGATATCACGGGGGAATACAAAGATGTTAGTGATGCCTGTTCAAAAATTCAATCGTGTCGGAGTCTACACCTCAAACGTCGTCTATCAAGAAGTTTTACGTGATGAATAAGGTATAATCAACAATTATATTATTATACATTTTGTACATATGTTTCTATTAAAACCATTGCGCCGCTTTTTGCAGGAAATATTTACGGATGAGTGTATCACGAAAAGCAAACAACAGTTCGAATACACGGATGAACATTATTTTACGAACGATTGTATTTCTTTGTTGTTAGGACCTGTAAACTCAGTTTTGATATCAATCAAATACTCTGGATGATCTTTAAGACAATCAAAGTGCAGCGGAAACAATATAAGAACAAACAGAGTAAGAATCAAGAACACACAGTATATGAGAATGATGAACACGAGAGAGTAGCTTCAAAGATTTTTTC